GTAGATGCAGAGGTGGAGGCCTTATGAAATCTGTCGGCAGAGCTTTTATTGAGGACCGCTGTGGGAGCAAGAGGTGGACGGACGGATATTAAAATAATAGCTTTGCAATCATACGCACATTTAATAGACTCAGAGAGGTCAAATCTATCAAGAGTATATTAAGAGGAAGGAACGAAGTCCAGGGCGTCTCTGAATATGACGCACACTTCAGTCCACCATCGGAGATCTAACCAAGTCTTAGTGAGCATGAATAGATCTGAATGCTTTGATCACAGGAGGACAACAATGTGACATTTAACAACATCATATATAAAGAGATGAAGATGGAAGATGACAGGCTCAGGAGGCATGAGGTGAGGTGAGGAGGCTCACATAGAAGAGATGACAACGAGTATGTTTCTGCATCTCCCTCTGGGGGAGTCTGTTTCCAGATGAACATGATATAGATGATTTCCAATCGCTACCAGTAAAATATTAAAATAAATTATATGAGCTCGGTTCTTTAAACATTCTAGCCAGTTGAAGTTGGACCTTTAACTTACATAGTCAAGAGTCCAAATAAACTGCTGAACCTTCCAAACAGAAAACAATAACACAGCGCTTCTTGTTGCATGCCGACATAAGACGCTTTAACAAAATATTCATTGCCAGCATGAACACAATAAAAACTCACAAGGAGCCAACGGAGCAGACCAAGCAGCAACCTCCAGTGTTAAAAAATGAAGTTAATGCAAAAATCTGCAGTTCCTCGAGTGTCCACTAGAGGCTGGCTGCAGAAGCTCAGAAGTCACATACACACTCAAAAAATCCAGTTTTTACATTAAAAACAAACCCGCTTACAGCCTGGTGAATAAAATAAAAAGGTCTGATTAGCTCATGTCTCGATCGGCACACACTGTAGTGTCTGTTTTGATTTTATAAAGGATAAGATTTATTTTATAATAAGGGCCAGAGCTGAACAAATTGACGCATCTTTTTGTCAGGAGGCTTAAAACCCGCCTCTGCTCTCAGCCTGTCGATAGATTGGCTGAAAGTTAGACTGTGACACATTTCCAGCATGGAGACCGCCATCAACCAGCTTCCAAAGCCTTTTGATCAATCTAATTACAGGCAAAGGGACGGAGCTGTGGTGGGCCTTCAGCCTCATGCATTCAGCTTCCATTCGCCCACCTGTCAGTAAAATCAGCCACACCCACAATTATGCAAATGAGGTGCACTATGGAGAGAAATGTGAAAGTTAGAGAGAGTTACAGATTATGTGATACATGTCCATCATAACTCTATACGCAAACTGTCCTCAGAGGAACATTTGGCCCCTGTAACACTGTTTGAAGATAAAATGATACACAAGAAGTTATGGAGGGGGGTCAGCAAGAGTGATAGCGTAACTCTCCTGGTAGCTTTTTAGCTCTTACTGTTCCACGGAACCATTTTTACCCTTAGAATAAAGTTTGTGTATTTAGTTCAGAAAATGAAGCATTAAATGTTTCACTTCTCCAACTTTCAAATATTTCTACAACATCTACATAGTGCACCTTTAACATAAATAGGATGAGTTATATGTATATCGTACAGATTTAAAAAATAGATCTTTGTGGACTGAAGTCAGGGAAAAATGTCACAGTCCATCCTACGATGCAAACAACTACCCATAAACTCAACCGAATAAAACAGAAATAAAGGCACTCAAATGGATTTAGCATCAGAAACACAAATACACAATCAAAGAAAGAACAATGTGAACAAAACACAACAAGAACACAAAACACCTGACACTCACACCACACCATTGCAAATAAAATGCAAAAGTAATAAGTGTATTGAGCATTAAAGAATGAGTAATGCACATTACCAAGGCTGTTTGTTAAGCTCTATTTTGGGGGGTTAAAGTGCTGCTTCATCCAGAGAACAGGGTGATAAAGTGTGTTTCCAGATTCAGCTGGTTTTCAGTGGACACACTGTGCTTTGAGGCAGCCTGCCTGAGTCCATGTTGGAAATGAAACAGTCAAGAAAACAGACGAGATGAAAGATTGGATCAGCTGGAGCAGTGTGCAGGATTTATCCCCCTTCAGCTTCTCAGTGTTCTGGCAAAAGAACCGCTGAGAAGCTGAAGGCCAACCTGCAGCTTGCCGAGCACTGGGCACATCATTACCACATCAATCTGCTTCTATACAGCTCGGCTCTCTGCCCCTGTTATTATCATTACACTCTGCATATATTTAGTATTCATTTCCATCCAGCATGGTACAATACCTGGCACTTAAAGATCGGATCATATATGCATAGAAACCTTTTCTCATTGCCCCTCCCCCTCCCGAGGTTTTGACTGCTGCTCTGCATTTATCTTGCCATGAACGTAAAAAAGAAAAAACCTCCACACCCCTCTGAATGAAGCTCAATCTGTACACTTTATAACAGCCTTTTCATACACAAGTTCAGTGTATGTTTTGTGTTCTCTCCTGAAAGCTTTTGATGATTTGATCACCTGAGAGTTAGCGGGCTGAAATGCACGTCTGTGAGAGATTTTTCAAACATCTTGAGGAGGAAGTCGGGTTTAACGGATTCTGACTCACATCTGTTTGCAAGCCCCGTCCTCCTAAAGGTGAAAATAATATACTATATAATAATATACTATCACCTCAACACGTCACACAGCCAACATGCAGCCTGTTTGAAACAGACATAGCAGCTTTATCAAACTTCCTAATGTTTCAGAAGCGACTGAGAGGAAATCAAAGCCTAAATTTGGGTTTTACAACTTGAGAAAAAAGCAAAAGTAAACTATAGACTTTAAAAGTATCAAACCAGCCGTCTAATAAGAAAAAAGAGGATGTTGGAGAGGATGTTAACCATCATCATGTCTTCTGGGATCGCTCTGTGATTTAAAACTTCTGGAAGCTGTCAGAAACAGAATGGAAAAGGTTTTAAAAATTAAGTTTGATTGTTGCTTTGTATCTGGGAAAGATGCCACCTCTACTTTTAGGTTTTTCCAAAGTATACATGTACAGAATAATATTAGAATAATGTTGGTTGCTAGTAAAAAAAAAAAACATTACATTATGCCAAGGCCCACCTGTACTAGAAGACTGCTTCAATGTAATGCACGACATTTTTCGTAATGGAAAAATTAACATTTATTTTGGGACTGATTTATTTAATGAATTTTGGAAAGGATGGATTGAGTTTATAAACCCACATAGAAAGGATTTCAGGTAAAGAGCTGGTTCTCTGCTACACACAGATTATTGTGCTTTTATGTTGATAGTATGTCTGTTCTTTATTTTTTGTTTTTCATTTTTTTCTTTGGAAAAAAAAGAGATGTATAGGCTATTTAAAAATTGTGTGCACCGGTTTGTCTCTAACTAGAATAACAATAATATATATACATATATATATATATATATGTTATATATATATATTTATTGTTATATATATATATAAGAGCATCAGGTATAGCACAGTACATTCTTCTTATCATTGCTAACTATATCTGTAATATAAATCTAACTCTTGCAGAGTGATTGCCCCCTGACTCTCTGCATCCTTATCTGAAATCCAGCTTTAAAGCTTCCTGTGGGGAGTTTGTAACTGGTTATAAAACAAACTGGAATTCATATTGATTGTCTCTGTATGATCTATAAAAGCAGGTTTCATCGTGCAGTGTACGCAGACAAACGATCACAGTCCGATCAGCTGCTCCAGAACTGTACGATGAATCTCTGGCACACACTCACAAAGTGAGAGAGCAGAGCTACGAGCAGATTCCCAGACTTCAAAACTTTTTTTTCTTCATTGTACCTGCTCAAACTAGCACACAACATCTGAAATCACCATGGCAACGTAAGACATTGCGTATCTGTCTTCCCCCTCTGACCATTCAAGAACATTTGGCAGGAAATGTCAGCAGACCTCCAGCTGACAGGGAATGTTTGTTATGATTCAGCTGCTAGTTAGCTTGTGATTATTGGTGATGCAGTGTGTGTGTGTGAGAGAGAGAGGGAGAGAGAGAGAGAGAGAGAGTGGTTTTTCTGGTGAGTGTATTTGAGCCGTGCATATGAGACAAAAACACATATATATCTACTGACGATTAAGAATGCCGTCTCGATATAACTTGTTCAGTGTGAGCTCTCAGGTCGTGCGTCATGTATGATTCAGTCTTACAGTGTGAGCTCATGTTCCACTACGACTTTAATACAATCGTTAGTGAAGTATTTCTGATTGAAGAAATCTCATCCTTTAACTATCAAGATATGTTCAATACACGTAGATGAGCAGAGAGAGTAGACATATTGCATGCCTTGTCAATGGGGGAGGGCGAGCATCAATGTTAGGAAAGCTTTTCTCAGTTGCTCTCATGCAGTATGGCTACACTCAAATATTCTCTCAAATCTACTGTTTTCATAACAAATATTAAAACAGCAACCCAATGGTCCAGGACGTTTGGCACAGCACTGGGAGGATAGATTATTCAAAAAATGTTAACAGCAGTGTCGATGATGATAATAGTACAGAAACATTTTTTGCATCTCCCCAGGTGTTCTCTTTCACTCCAAGTCCAATTTACTCCCAGCTTGTTTCTCGTAACCTCCCGCAGACGGCTGTTTTAAATCCAGAGAAGCTCACATTTTTTCATATGCTGTGAGCTTTTTTTAATATTAGCCGTTCAGCTCATTCAGCGCAGAGCTGGAAAGACCCCATCAAAGCCCAGTCAGGATCACAGAACGTCTTCTACCACCACAGCTAGCACAAAAAAGTGGGAGGGGTTTGTTATTTTTAGAACAAATAGACAAACCCCTCCCACAGAACTCACTGTTACTATGGCAATAATTTTGACTGAAGAATGGCATTTCCATCACTGATATTTGATCAAATAAAAACTCAAGATCCCACACAGACATTAGAGCAGAGATTTGGAAAAAAAAAGTTGAAAATTTTCATGAAAATATTTCGGCTTCAAAAATGTCAGAAATACGAACATCGACCAAAAGCACTTAGCGGACTGACCTGGCAGGCGTTGTAGAGGAGCTGGTGCTCAAACTTCTTGATGCCGAGGATCTGCTGGAACATCTCATACAGCTGGTCCTTGCTGAGGATGAGCTCGGAGGCGGCGCTGGCCGTCATCCTCTGCTGGTGCTTCCTGGGATCCTCCTCGCCGCGGTAGATGGTGTCAAACTTTGCTATCCAGGAGCTCAGCACCGTCTCTTTGCTCAGGCCGTCGATCTCGGGCAGGCTGCGCACGCGCTTCTCTATGTGCTTCTTGAAAACCTCCCTGGAGTCGCTGGCCGAGCAGCCGCCGCTCTGCACCATCCTGGACACACGGTCACTCTTCAGGAAGACCTGCAGACGGTTTGAGAACACATGACACATTGAGACTTTATAGAAAGATGCTGCTAGATCATAAAGCTAAAACTGACTCTATTCTGACTGCCTCCTACTCTAAGCTTGATGCATCTCCTTACACATTTCATACATTTTGTATCCATTCAAACCTTGTGTAGGCTTTGACCAGCAGATGGGGAGTTGGCCTGCATTCTGTTGGACAGGCGGGGGCCTAACTACGGTGGTTAGCTTGTGGTAGCTTGCAAATTAAAATAGTCAATTTATACTATTTATAGAGCATGGTCTAAGATGCATGGTGCAATAGTGTCACAGGCTGGTGTGGGCTTAGTACAGTGCAAGATACAAGGCATCTCTCATATAGTGCTTTCACACTTGCAGAAAAGTCATGGAAGGAGCTGTATGTGTGAACACAAACTGCCAAATTTTTCTCTCGGACTTCACCCGGAGTTTCTCCTGCCCGCCTCCTATAATTTTTCTGCAGGAAGTCCAAGTGACCTGAGAATACAGCAGGATATTCCCCAGAGAATTCACCTCGAGCCAATGGGAGATTATCTAGATATTTTCTGGAGTGCAGATGTGAAAATGGCTACATTACATGAATCCAACCAATCAGATTGTTTTCTTCCTTATGTATCAGTATGTTCCAAATGTTCTTTAGATACAGGGTTAATAGCAGGGAAGTGTTTTGTCACAGACACCACCAGTGCACCTGATCAAAACCTCTGTTTAAGTACAGTGCTCCCATGGGTGCAACTTAGACACAATGGGTGCAGAGTGTGACAATATTATTTCCCCAATTAGGAACTAGGAGGATGACTGCACCTGCGTTATGCACTACTGTCATAGAGGGTCAGGAAACACTAAGGGGTTCATGATGGAGACTTTTTTTTAAACCCAGAATGACGTCATGGTTTCTGTCATCCAAACAGACAGATTTTTTATTTATTTGCTCAGATCTGGTGAAATATATCTCAGATTTGATGTTTTGGCTTTTCATTATATATAGAGAGAGAGTTCATAGTTCACGGCTTGATGAACGAGTGTCTCTTTAGCTCTGAAAAACAAAATAAATGTCAACAAGAGGACTATTTATTCTGCAGAAACCGTCTGACAGTTAGGGCCATGTAGTGTTGTAGTACTCAAGAAAGGTCTTGGTCTAAAGATCATTCTTGAGGAATGAGGATTTTAAATCAGGACCGGTCAAGACCACCCACTGAGAAGTTATTTTTCCACGTCATTACTGTTATTAGAAGGAAAACGTTGCTTTCTAAAAGAACAAATAACTTCAATTAATTTGTAGTTTGACCTTACCACCGGACCAGTTACCACCAGTTACCACCAGTTACCCCCGGTTACGGCCGCAACTTTCCCGGTGCTATGGTCTAAGTGAGTGACACGCCTATGGTCTTGGTCTTGTCTCGGTCTCGATCCCTAAATGTCTTGGTCTTGTCTCGGAGCACTCTGGTCTCGGGTCTGTCTTGGTCTCGGTGGTCTTGACTATAACCCCAGGTTCATTAAACTGATTTTGACGTTTTAAATGTAGTTTTTCAATGCTGAAAAACTTCAAATTCTATGTTCGTTGACTGTTATTGAGAAATCTCAAACACAAATATTTAAAAACAAAATCGATCAGTGTGCATGGTCAGACCCTCCAAAAAAGGTAAGTTAGTTATTTTCAATCGCCCGAGAGTGACAGGTAAGATCGTAGGTGATAGAGCCGACATGTCTGCATTGAGATCTCTGATTCATTTTTGAAAGTCTCCGAACAAGCCGATGATTGATGGGTGGTAAATACCTGTCACCTTCTGTTCAACCTGTCAAGCTCCTTTTTTTAAACCCTTTTGTCTCTTGTCCCTCTCTATCTTTCTATTCCTGTCCCTCCAGCTCGCTGTGTGTCTGTCAGGCCTCCGTCAGGTGGAGCCTTGCAGCTTAAGCCGAGCTGAGAGCTTGGGGGTTTAATTGAATTGGATAACCTGTGCCGCCGGCTTCATCTGTTAAATATCACACCGTGTTCATTTAGCTAGCTTGTGCTGCCACACGAACTGATAAGGAGGTGCCAGTCAACGTGTCAGCACCATCTACCAAACACACACACACACACACACACACACACACCCTCAGATCTCTAAGTGTCCTTCAGCGAGTCTTAGTCCTCGATTAGCTTTTTAAAAACCCTTTGAGTTTAAATGAAAACCTAAAGTCTGTTTTTAAATCTTTATTCTCTCTGCATTTTGAATGTGTGACTTACGACAGATTTAACTGCACTATAACTTCATTTCATGATTTAGTTGTTGTAATTGCAATGTGTTTATTCTATCATGGAGTTGTTTATTTATTGCGCAGTGTTGTTAAATGTCTTTGCTGTGTCAGCCTGTTTGCATTGCCTCTGTGTTTAGATTTTGCTGTGTCAACAAAGCTTCCGCACCTTTAGCATGAAATGTGCAGCTCTCATGATGGTTGATTGGAGCTCTGCAGGTTTGTTTGGTATGCAGTCGAGCAGCGATCGAACAACACGGAGGACATGAACGCTAACGTTACTGACTGTGCTTCTTATTTTGAGTCTTGTGCTTGTGCTCGTGCATGAACTGTATCGCTAGGAACACACCTCTCCAGAGCGTGCCAGGGCCAAGGAAGTACCGAGCTTGAGCATGGATCGGAGCACTCAGACTAGTCAAACCAACTGGACTTTCGAGGTGAAGCGCGCTTGGGCACGGTACGGATCTCCTCGTGTGAGTGCGCCCTTAGAAACATTTTCTCTCTGGGTAGAATGATGGTCAAACTGAATGCATCTGAAAACAGCCCAGTAATCTAAAAATCCAGATCAAAAGTCAAACAAACAGGATTAAAGAGAATCAAGGTAATCACCCGCAACCAAAGATCTTTGGTGCATTGGGGCATGTCAGTATTCTACCGTTTTCCTTTTTTGTATTCTCGCTTTTTCACCATTTTTCTTTTTATTAACTATCACATCGCCTCTTGACCTTCTTAGGGCGGAGGGATAAAATGAAGGTTTAATAAAGGAACAAATGTTAAGCTTATTATGTTTCAAGTCGGACATGTACCTCCCTGACCAAACCTACTGGCAAAAATTGTCCTTTGCACGAGCTGCAATCACCATGTGTCCTGCATTGTTGTGTTAGCATGCTAATGTTAGCGCTCTTTAGTTAGCCTGTAGCTTCACATAAATTGAAACAGAATGAGCGGGATCTTAACACATCCATCCATCCATTATCTAAACCGCTTTTCCTTCTTCAGGGTCTGGGGGGTGGGGGGGCGAGAGGCGGGGTTACACCCGGACTGTTTGCCAACCAATCACAGGGCTGACATTTAGACAACCAGCCACACTCACATTCACACCTACGGACAATTTTTAGACTCACCAATTAACCTAACGAGCACGTCTTTGGACCGTGGGAGGAAGCCGGAGTACCCGCAGAGAACCCACACATGCACGGGGAGAACATGACAACTTCACACAGAGAGGCCCTGCAGTGATTCCAACCAGGAACCTTCTCGCTGTGAGACAACAGCGAGAACCACTTCACCACCGTGCAGCCCTAAAAACACTTACATGACATTCAAATGAGCAGTGAGTATGTTCTTCTTCTCTCTAGTCTGACTAAAACAGACTCTATACACAAGGGGAGGATTGCTGTGTGTTTGGCTGTTTGAGAACATCACTGTCTATAGCGCTGCTTTAATAACGAGTACTGCCTGTATGATCTATTTACTGTCGCTTCACACCGGCCCCTCAACCAGCCCGACACCTTTTCCTGGTTCTCCACATCAGCCCCTCGGGACCTGACGTCAAATGTCAAACTGTAAATGAACAGCGTGATCCAGGAGAGTTTAAAAGATGCAGAAAGGATTTCCTTTCATCACATTTTATTTCCCAGTCGATCAAGCACCTCCAACTGAAAGAGCGTTATTAACACTGCCCTGAGGAGCTCAGTGTAGACTCTGCATCATGTATCAGAACAGAAACAAGTTTTCTCTGCTGAGGTTCCCTCACTTCTGACCCCAGTATTAGTTTCCCTGCTATGACAGTTTTCATTTTAAACATTAGGAGGCTCACGACGGGAGCATGACAGCAAAATTGTCAAATGTTCAAGAAATTGTCTTTTTATAAACATTGATATAGAAATAACATATCCTGTCAAAATTAAAAGACACATTTGTAAACTATCTTGTAAATGAAATGATAAAGTGATCTTACTATATGATCAGACATTAAGGAAACATGTTACGTTGAAGTGCTGGCTTCTCTGACAACAATGCAGCAGCCAGTATGTCCTCCTTCTAACTTTAGATTCTGTTCCTGAATGCTCTGGATTTGTTTGGACCAGAGAAGGTAGGCGCTTTTAAGGCGACCCCCCACACGGCCGTTTTGGACGCCCCTTGGTTTGTCAGATATGAGAGCAGTTATCAGGTCAACAGGTGTTGCAGAGATGGAAGCGGTCAAGAGAAGTGGTTCAGATAGAAGTGATTGTACCCGACCTAAAAAGGCTCTGCATGTTTCTAATAAGCTCCACGAGCAGAAACGTGCTCAAACTAGGATCAATATTGGAGATGCTTTTGAAAAATGGAGAGAGGTTAGAACACAGAAAGGTTTACAGACCCATGCAGAGCTGGATAAACACTGAAGCTTCAGAGTCCACCACATGGTGACCTGAGTGAGCATCACTCTAGAGAGGAGGGGGGAGACAGCTCTCTACAATGTTTTGAATTTGGACTGCAGTACCCGTTTTAAACACTAGGTGTCAGAGTTACATATTGCTCCTTTAACAGATTATGCTGAGAAAACACATTTTTTCCACAAGGAATTCAAAAATCAGACAGCAAAGATCAGGACACGTGAATTTAGTCCTCCAGAGAACATTTTTCTATAATCCTGTTCATTCTTTTGAACTGAAAGCTAGTTAACATGTTGTTCTCTTACGTTTGGTTACATGCTGTGTAAAACAGGCCGATAATGTTCAGGCAGCAGGAATCCTGTTTGAATTGATCCAGTATAAAAACCTATTAAAAACATCCAGATCCAATCGTTCTTTTTCTGCAACAGAAAGCTTAAGCTTCTGTCTTTAATGTCATTACATTGCACTTTCATTGATGACATCGTTATGCAACACATGTTCTGTGCTAAATGTGGTGAAGAGACGCCGGCAGCAGACGGGCCACCATCTGGCTGCTGGAGGTTTGTTTTCTCCAAAATGAAAACCTAAAATATCAAGAGCACTGTTTACATAACTTCCATAACCTTTAAGGTCTAAGAAATGTGAAGCATTTGAAGAGACTCACAGAAAGAAAAATACATCCATGCTTGATTTGTATTTCTGTGTGAAATAAAACAACGTCATTCTTTGCTCTTTTAAATAAGTAAAACTCAAAAACTTAAAAAAATGTGCAACTTTTTGATCTGCCCTTGAGCACCAGCATGAAACCAAAACAAACTGCTGTTTGGCCACACCTCCGCTATTCTGAAGCCTCCTGTGGCCTGCATTGTTGTGTTAGCATGCTAATGTTAGCGCTCTTTAGTTAGCTCGTAGCTTCACATTCCATGTAAATAAACACAGAATAGCCATGGTGTTCTTCTTCTTCTCTCTTATCCTTGACTAAAACAGCTTTTATACACAAGGGGAGGAGCCGGCCGTCCCGTCCATGTAAACACGGCTCTGACAACAACACAGCCAGCGAGACTTGAGCTTCTCCCTCATTGTAGACAGTCATGACTCAGAGACACATTTACACAGGATAGACTGGATTTCTGAAGTATTTATGTATAAAATGTCACATATTCTTCCTTTAAAATGTGTTTATGCTTCTTGGTTTAGTCTGGATCAATATGTTTAGTTTATGTTAGTAAATATAATATAAGATAAGACAGAATTTTTTTTGCACTGCCTTAATTATGAAGCGATTTCAAAAGTCAAATTGTTCATTTTGGTGTCAACTTACAAAACCCTTAGGTTGTGAGTACATCTGTCGCAGAATGACATATATCCACAAAGAAAAATACTAGAGACTCACATCATAGTAGCTCTGGACAGCGTTGATGAAAGCTTCGTCGGCCACGATCTGTGTGTCTCCGCTGAGGAACGACTGGAAACGCTCTTTGACCGTCTGCAGCTGCTGCTTACTGATCTGAAGGAGAGATTGACACACACAGGAGAGAAAGACGTTAGAATGGTTCATCAACATCAGTACTATATCTTTTTAAATGAACTATCTAAATATGAAATGAAATCTTTGTCTTTCAAAATTGCCACAGTCCAATCCTCGTCCTCTTCCTCTACAGTCCTCATTTTTAAGCCTACTCTTAAATAAATGCAGGTTTTGACCTTTATTTAAAGACTGTACAGCACATATTTCCATTAAAAAGAAAAGGTCACATTTTATGCAAAATCCACTTCTCCATGTTTCACTAACTCAAATATGTGTCTCTAGTCCGTCTACAAACCCTCCAATCATGAGAAAAGTCCATCCTCTCCGTCTTTTACCTGCTCCACTTTTCAGAAAATGTGTGCTCAAACAGGCCGTTTGGAGATTTTCCCTTCATGACATCACAAAGGGCAGTAGCCCCTCCCACAGGTGGGTGACACTCCCACAGCTAGGTGTTTGTTCTGCCCTCTGAGTCTGCCTTCTCACCGTAAACAATAGGACATGGAAGGAGAAAGCCCGAGTACACCCAAAGCCCTTCCAGAGAGGGGGCGTGGTCAAACACAGCTCATTTACATATTTAAAGGTACAGACACAGAAACAGCCTGTTCTGAGCAGGGCTGAAATAGAGGGGTTTATAGACATGATCAAATACAGGATCAGAGTGAATTTAGAACAAGAAACTCCACAGACATGTTTTGAGGAGCTCTGAGAATTATTTACACTGAAGAAGAGGAGGAGAATATGTCACCTTTAAGTTAAATTCCTGATCATTGAAGGTAGGTAGCTCTATTAATGTCTGTATTTGTTTCATTTTGCCAAAATTCTTTCTGCATGCTCTATTCTTCCCTCCCACCCACTCTGAGTCACCAACAGATTGATTTCAACACAACAAATTAGCGCCATCTTTGATGACAACAAAATTGGTGGTTTAAACGACTCTTTCAGTCCAGGACTTCTCTCTCAAACAAAGACGTGATGGGAGATCAACATATTCTCCGAGCTGAAAGAAAGAATGTGGCATGATATTCAGAAATGATGACTAATCATTTTCAGCCATGCTTTTAGAGAAAATAATTCACATTATCACCTACAGGAGAAAGACTTGGTTTTTAAGATGGTTTACAGTTAAAAAATAAAATGTATATAATTCTCAAAATTCTGTTTTTCTATCAACCTCATTCTCTTTCAGTTCTTCAATACATTTAATATAAGAAAGAAACCCTTTGATACTGAAGCACAGTCTATATTAGATACTAGAGTTGAGTACCTCTTCTACTTCTAACTAAACTGGAGGTCTGGGTATAAAGAAAGTCTGATCTCTACATTAGAGCAGATTTCAAATGGCACATTCGGTTCTAAATAAATACATTTGTCTTCGTTCAACACGCATGACTTTTTAAATTCCAACCAAACAACAGGGTTTTCTCTCTGGCTTTTAATTGGACACCGTGCACATGCTTTGGCTCGTGATCGTTCTTCACACTCACGCTGTGAAAAGAAATCACATACCATTCAGCTCTCTCCATACATCACATATGGCTCCAGACAGCTGAGAGCTTTCACAGCATGCTGTGACGTGATGTAAACAATACATTAACACTATACAATGCTCAGCAGCTACTACTGTTCAACATGCAGAATATGTTTCCCTGGACTGATGACAGAGAGCTTTTGTCATGCAGAAATAACAAAAGAAAAAAATGGAAAAAGTTGAGAGTTTAAATCAAACCGTTGAGTGATTATAAAAATCAAGCGGATGTTTGGAGTCAACGAGCTTCTTCAGCAGGTTCAAGAGAAGCTGATTAAAACCTCTCAAAGCTCTAAGCGATGACTGCTCCTCCGCGGGCCGCAGGGCTAAACCCCCAGCTTATGCTGTGCATGTTGAAGGTAAGAGTAAACACTCGTGTTACATATCCACCGTGAAAACAAGCTGTGTGTGCACAAAAAACAAACAGATGAAGTGTGTTGAGAGTGGGCCTGAAAACAACACAGTGTGCCGATACAGACAGCTGTGAGACGTGAACCATCAGAGACATTAGAGGACTTTAAAAAACCTCAGTGCACAATTTTCAACATTATTTTTTTCTGATTTATATCTCAAAACAAGACTGTTCTCTTTTACATTCCTTATATTATCTACAATAAGTAACGCACTTAATTATATAAACCAGTGTTACCGTCAGTGTCCTCTTTTCTTTTTTAAAGATTTATTTTAGGGCATTTTGTGTCTTTATTGGAGAGATAGGACAGTGGATATAGCCGGAAATCAGGGCGAAAGAGAGTGAGGAATGACATGCTGGAAAGGAGACACAGGTCGGACCCGAACCCGGGCCCCCGCTTGGAGGACTGTAGCCTGTGCGCGCTCTAACCACTGCACCACCAGCGCCCCTCAGTGTCCTCTTTTAAGTCTCACTTTTATGCATTGCCTCTTCTTAATCATGGCGTTGTCATGTACTTCTAATTGTGTCTAATTGATATTTGGGTATAAGTGTAAAAAGCCTAACCCGCAGAGGTGAGCGCTAACCCAAACAGGCGTCTCACTCTGTCTCTGCAGACAGCTGGCACAGATGTTTCAGCGTCAAACCACAGGACGAAAAAAAGTTTTTTTTCTAAATTGTTTTGAATTTTACAAACTTCACCCAAGAGGCAAATTCTGTTTTTTACACTTTGAGAGACATGCTTCTCCCACACATCAGCCTGAATCACACACCTGCACAAACAGGACCTGTGGACATGCATTAGTGGAGAGAGTGGGGCTGCTACTAAGGGAGCGCACCAGGGCGGTTGGGGGTTTGGTGAATTGCTCAAGGGCACCTCGGCTGTACTCGGGAAGTGCCCTGGCACCTCTCCAGCACAACAGAAAAATGTCCATATTCTGGTCCGCATCAGGACTTGAACCATCAACCCTCCAGTTCCCAACAAGTCCCTACAGACTGAGCTACTGCCGCCCCGATATACTGGCTCTAAAGTACAACATGGAAGGCTGTATTAAGTACTCAATTTCTCAACGCAAGAACATCTCCGCCTTCGGAGAACAACACAGGTCTCCGGACGCTCTTTGCTGAAAACACAGTTCCACTCCACTTGTGCATGTTAGGAGACATCTGGTATAATGTGACGCTCTGATAACCAACGCCCCACTCCAGGGAGACACAATAAAAAGGAAGAGAGGGACGAGAGAGCACTGGAGGATAATGAGGGAACGCGGGGGCTGAAGGGGAACGCAAGTGAATAATTAGAAGATGGAAATACAAGAGAATTAAACAGAGCAAGAAGAGAGAGGAGAAATGAGTCTGTCTGAGAGGTAAAGAGGAAGAGGTGCTCGATGTAGATACTCCACCAAAGTGTCTCCTATGATGTTGTGCCGTCGGTTTAACAGAGGCCCGGTGGAGCTGTGACATGGGAGCTTCGAGTCGTTGTTGTCGAGATGTTTTTAAGACAGTTGAAAGGAAATAAGTGATGAATCATTTCTGTCTCTGATTAAGCACATCAAAAAAAATGACTTCCTGATAAATCTGTGAACAATTACATTTGTTACCTCTTTCTAAAAAGGCAGCCTGTATGGACGTCCAGTGTCTATACACCAATGGAACAAGTATTTCAACTAAATTGATACTGTGAACAATATGTCTTACAAGGACTTATAACCATGCTTTCAGTCAACCTAACGACAGGCTGAGAGCTGAGGCGGGTTTTAAGCCTCCTGACAAACGGCTACAACGCTCCCTCCTGTCAGTCAGGTCAGCCGTGCGCCTTAACACTTATTCTTCTAAAAATCAAAACGGAGGAGTTAGGAGTCAAACATACGGGGAATACCAAACATTTTTTAAAGCGCCAGTGACGTCTCCAGCACCAAGAAACACTCGGGTCGGCTGTACACAAAAAAAAAAAAAGCAGAGCACTGGACCCTGTGTGCCTTTTCTCCAGCGTGGGAAAGGTTTCCTCTCCTCACTGGGAATACCTGGAAGAAAAGGTGGACCCAGGCCCTTATTTGGCAACGCTCTGCCAATGAAAGACGTCTGATCCAACCTTCACAACAGGGTCCTAAGACGCTGACTAGACTCTTCTGCTCTGTCGCCCCCCGGTGGTGGAATGAAGAGTCCCTCTGCACCTTTAAGAAAAAGCTAAAGACCCAGCTCTTTCATGAATACCTACTAACTTAATGATGATGGTCTCCATATTATTGATGATGATGATGGTAATGACGATGGTTTTTGTTTGATAACGATGACTTATAAGATGGTTTCTATACTGATTAGAGCTCTCAAGAACTGCCCTCAATGTTGTGCTTTGCCTCTGGTCACTTCCTGTCAGCACCTGTGTGTCCAATCAGACTCAAAGCTGATCGTTTGCTCTTACTGACATTGTTCCCTTTTTTCTAGATCCTTGCTTGTGTTGTTCTTACTCTCTGATGTACGTCACTTTGGATAAAAGTGTCTGCTAAGTGAATTGTAGAATTGTAGTTGTAGAAGAAGGAGAAAAGAAATGAAAGTAAAAGCGCAGATCGATTCGAGAGCTGTGAGGACAAAGAGAAGAGTTTAAAACCTTTAGTGTTTTCATTGATGGAGATCTGAGCTTCAGATACACCACAGCTGTTTATCCTGCTGTCTGCTCTCCACCATCTCACACACACAGTGAGAGAAGAGCTAAGTGCTCCTACTTGGACATATTGAGTTAGCAGCTTCCACTGCCCAGTCTCTATCCAGTTTCTCTACAGAGTTTCTCCAGGACAAAACTTGATAACATGATTTCAAAGATTTCTTTTGGGGGGTTTTAGTCTTTCTTTGGACAGGACCGGGGATGGAGTGGGAAATCAGAGACAGAGAGAGAAGGGGGAATGATGCAGGAAAGGAGCCGCAGGTCAGACTTGAAGGACTGACGCCTCTATACACAGGATGCAACCAAACTATTTGGACAAAAACCCCAAGAGCCATAAATTATTGATTTTAAAAAATGAGTTCAAAAGAAGCATTTTTTATTTT